GCTGCTGCAGCTGCTGCCGCCGCCACAGGAGCCTTGATCCCCGTGCACCGGACTCCCCGGGCCTCGCCATGGTAAGTGAGGGCCACCGAGGCGGACAGGACCCCCGAGAACCCGGGTGGCTGATCCCGGAATGGGAGCCGTTTGGGCCCCACGAGCCTGGGGGGGCTCCCGGCCCAAAGGGGAGTTGGGGCCCCGTAGAGACGCCCTATGGCGGCATTTGAACCCAAAGCAGGATGTCTGGACCCCCCAAAGAGGGGCTTTGGGGCTTCCAGAAGTGACTCTGAGCACCGCATGGGGTGTGTGAACCCCCAGGGAGGGGTGTCGTTTGAGCCCCGGCGCATCTGGACCCGCCAAGTGGGCGCCTGGACCCCTTAGAGGTCTTTGGAGCCCATGATGCGGCGTGTAGGGTGTGGTGTGTGAACCCCAGGGGGGCATATCTGGAACCTTAGCCCGGCAGGGGCAATGGAATCCTGATGCCGGGAGCCGAGGGAGGCCGGGCTGCTGCGACGGGGTGCCAAGGGGTGACCAGCCAGCTTTGGGAGGGCAGAGGAAGGGATGGGGGTTCACTTCAGCAGATTAGTTCCTTGAGGGGGGGAGGGAAGGGGTTCCCCGAAAACCAGCCCTGCAGAGGTGAGGGGGTGGAAGAGCTAGGGGTGGGGGACGGGCCTGGGAAGGATCTGGGTGTGGAGGAGGCTGGGGGAAGCTGTGTTGGTAGTCGTCGGGAGATGGGTGGAGGGTGCCCTGCATTGGGGGCTGGGGGTGGGGGTGCAGCTAGAGAATGTTCTCGGGTTTCTAGTGGGTTAAGGCTGCTGCACCAGGAAGGGAGGGGTTTGGTGGAGGGGGGGCATGTTGTGTTTGGCCCAGGAGGAGGTGGTTCCCATTGGTGATGGGTGGGGGAACACTTTAGCTGGAGGGACTGGGGGACACGTTGGTGGGGGGTGAGGAGGAAAATGAATGGCAGCCAGGTTGGGCCTAGGTGTGGCGGTGGGTGTAGGAGTTGGCCGGAAAGATGGGGATAAAGACTGCTCATCTGGGGGCAGGAGGGGGTCACAGAGACCTGAAGGAGTGGCTGTGCTGAACCCCATTCTCATGTCTCCCCACCACCACCCAGGAAGATCAGCCCCTACCTACCTCCTCCTCAGGCTCGGGGAGCAGGTGGGTGGAGCTTCTGGGGAAGCTTGCATAAAGTGAGGGTGGGGGTCCAAGTTTGGGGTGCTGTCACAGAGCCTGGCTTGGGGGAGATGGGAGCCTCACCTCTCGCTGCCCCTTCCCCAGGGCAGGCGAGCAGGCCTGCTTTCTCACCATTGCCAGCACCACGCTCCGCATCCTACGGCTGGTGCCAAATGACGTCGGCGAGGGCCACACACCTGAGGCCCCTAGGACCTCCTGAAGGACCCCCATCACTGGCCCTAGGGCCACTTGTTCTGTTGTTGGGTGCCCTGTCTGCAGGGAGGACGTTGATTGACACAGCTGGGGCTTGGCGAAAACAACCCCCCCCCCAGGCGCAGCCTCCCCCCTGGCAGGGCTGGGGCCGCACGGCAGCCGCCATGTGTATCAGATCTCAGACGTGCTGACCCAGACAGGACTGTGCCTCTTGCCACCACCCCGTGGTACCCCCCATCCATCGGAACTGTGCTCCAGGCCAAGGGCCCCCCACCTCTCAAAGCCACCCCTAGTTTGGAGGCGAGCTAGTTTTGCCTTGTGTCATTGGCCAGGTGTGGGTGGGACCGGGTTTTGTTGCCCAGCCTTGGACTTTGGCCTGCGCCCGTGGCTCCTCCTTGGCCCCGGTGAGGGGCCCTGGCCCAGGCCTTGGTCTCTGGTCTCAGCTAACACTGCTTGCTGGCTGGGGTGAAATGGTAGCCTCCTCCACCCCCAAGATGTTGCTCCAGCTCCGCCCCAGAGCCTCCGAGGAGGGAGAGGGAAGCAGACCAGCTAAGCGGGGTGGAGGCAGTTTGGGGAGCGAAAGCTGACAGCCTTGGGGCCTGGCCAGGCTCCCTCGTTGGTGGCAGCTTCTCAGGCCCCCCTGCAGTAGGGGCGAGGGTCTCCTGAGGCAACGCTGGCAGAGCCACGCCTGTTTGCAGCAGCCCTGGACTGGGCCTGGGGGAGGGGCACATCCCAGCCTGCAGAGCTGCGGAGGCAGCCAGCTGGGCTGCCCTGAGGTGGGAAGAACTGGTGAGGGTCTGGGGGCCAGAGGATGGGCGTCTCTCTTCTCATGGTCGCCAAGCAGCTTCCGGAGTGGCGGGACCAAGCTTCCTGCCCCGTGGGAACCAGGGACACCCCGGTCTTCTGGAAGGCAACGGGGAGTTGTCTTCGGACCTCCGGACGTGCCCTCTGGCCTCCCCACCTCCACCTTCCTTCTTGCCCTCCATGGCCATCATCGCTTTGATGTCCCTCCGGGTGGGCCTCTGGGGCCTGGTTCACGTTCCATTTCCCTCCAGGGGAGAGGTGAGATGGGACACCCTGCAGCCAGTGCTGGGTCCTCAGGGTCCACAGGCGGGCTGAGTAGGGGGTTGGCACAGGGCAGCTTAGAATCATGCGGATGCACAGGACAGTAGGCATCTGATTTTGACTTGAAAGTCCCATGTGCGCCACCACCACCCCCAACCAGACCCTGCAGCCCCCCTCCCCCTAATTGGAAAGTGGAGGAATAGGAGCAGCGGCATGTGCCCGCCCCCAGGGTTCAGGGGGCAGCAGGAGCCCTCTAGGCAGCACCCACCGACACCAAGGACAGGCCTCCCCTAGGCTGCTGCAGGCAGCATGTTGGGTTGCAGCCCGTGAAGGGCTCTGGCTTATCGGTCAGGAGGCCTCTCCCTGGCTGGGTCCCAGGCACCCGTGCAGCTGCACCCATGCGACTGGGGCTGGAAAGAGTTAAACACTGCAGGGCGCTGGGCACACTGGCATCTGTCCTGCAGCCTTTGCCACTGCTGCAGTCCCCTCCCTGACACGTGTCCCTCCTGCCAGTGGTGGCCTGCACCTAAGCCTGTGTCCCTGAGCCAGGGGAGGCTGAGTCCAGTGGCCGACCGGCTTCTCCCAGGCCCTCAGAGCATCTCAGGGTCTAGGCCAGGGTCTGCCCTGCCTGGGCCTCAGGCCTCCAGGTGACTGGGGAGGACACAGGCACCAGCACTGCTTGATCAGCACCCCCCACCCCTTTCAGTCTCTGCAGCTGCCCGCTACAACAGGACACCCATGGGCCTGGGCAGCTTCGTCAGGCGGGCCTGCATGCCCGGCCCACCCTCGCCCCCAGTGTTCGAAAGAACCAGGCTCTGGCCAGCCTGCCGGCATCTAGAGGGTGCCCTGTGGAGCCAGCCTTTCCCGCAGTGGGGTGGCCCTAACTCTCTCCTTCCGGTTCTTGCAGGCTGACCAGCTGACCGAGGAGCAGATCGCAGGTGAGCCCACCATGCCCCCTCACCCTGCCTCCCCAAGACCTCTGTGGCCCAGTCCGGCCTTCTCCCCAGGAGTGACACCTGTGTGTCCCGCCTGTCCCCTGGCGCCATGCCACCTGCTCAGAATACTGATACCTCTGTAGAGGAAGGCAGCTGTGTCCTGCCAGAAGCTGTCCTCTTCTGGCCCTGGGTCACCTGGGTCTCAGAGCTTAGTGGTGGCAAGACGAGCTGGCTCTCTGGCCCACTCCCTGCCAGGTGGTGACCCCTGCCTGCCTGGCAGCAAGGGCCCTGGCCCTCATTCACCACTCCCTGCCCTGTGCCTCCCCATTGTTGGTAGCTCCTGTTTGCTCGGCCTTAGGTCTCCGCCCTAAGCAAGGCCTTTCTGACCCCTCTCCACCCCCACCCCCACGTGGGCAACCTCCCTCTGCCCATCCTGCCACCCTCAGCGTGAGCGCCTGCGGTTTAGGGCTTGGTTCGGTTAGTGGCTGCGCTCTCCCCAGTGCCTGACTCTGCCCGCTGAGCAGCTGGAGGAACAGGGATCCATCATCTATGTCCCACCCACTAAGCCCCAGGCGACCGGAATCAGCTCCTCTCCCCCTCAGCCAATGTAATTGGACTTTGTTGCCTCAAAGACCTGGAAGGTCACAGCACTGGGGACTAGTCTGGGGCTGGGTGGGGACAGAGACCAGCTCCTGTGTGGCGCTGCAGCTAGGAGGCAGCACCATGGGGACCCGGAGAGGTGGTGCAAGGCCTTCCCCTGTCCATGCCCAACATGGACTTGCCCCACCTCTATCCCACCCCCAAGGGCCACCAGGGCAGGCCTGGTTTCAAGAGCATC